TACTATATACATTTTTCTCTTTAAAGAGCCCTTGGAGCCAACCATCTAATGTCATCTGCAATAGGCAGCAGGAATAATTCAGCATACAAATTCAGAGAGCAATTATTATTATTATTATTATTATTTTAATCACATAAAAGGACACTCCGGGGTTTTGTAATTTTGTGATCACAGGGAAAGAGACTCACAGGCAGAACAGAAAAGCTGCACCAAGTGATTGCACAATTGGAGGATACCATTTCTCTTCTGGTCGTTAGAATGTTGCTAAATTAATATTTTCATCCAATTACCTTTCCACGTTAAATATTCATACATCAACTCCCGTTGCTTCTAATTGAGGTGGGAACGTTTTCCTGCCTGCTTCACGGTTTCCTAGCTAAATCACTGATGAAGGAAGCAGCTATTCGGAAAATGTTTGGCTCAACAGGCAAGACTGGATGGTTGAAGGACTCACTGGGATGTGGAGCCTTCTGTGTCCAGTGGTGCACCTGTGGTGGTGGTCAAAGAGCACTCTACCTGCTGTTAAAAGTCGCTGTGAAAGGAGATCGGGGTGTAAGTCCAGTGGGGAGATGTCACCTGAATTTCCATCCAGATCAGAATCCGGGCAGGTCACAGTGTCACGGTGCAATGAGAAAGTCCAGTAGGATTGCACTGCATTTGCCAGGGAGAAGAAACCTCAATATATATATATATATGTATATATTCATGTGGTCACTACTTTTCTTCCCCAGCCAGCTCAAACCCATTTTTTATCTTGGAGAACCAAAATAGCACTATTTCCAGGCAACCGAGACCAATGACCTCCTGTCTTCAAAACAAACTGTCAGGACAGTTCAGGCCAAAGTTTGCGCCGAGTACACAAACCCAGCCTAAGCAGCCACTGGTCTTCCAAGAACTGTTACCCAGCAGATCGCCCTGTGTACTCTGTCAAATGAACAGCGTGGAGGGCCCTACACGAGGATGAAGTCTAAACACCTTAAATCTTTTAGGTCCAGCTGCTGTCAGATCCTTGCCATCCAGTTCTGGTGACCTGGCTGTGTCCTAAACGTGACAGTTGTCACATGGATTCACATCAGATAAAGCTAGAATGCCTCGCAAAGATGCACAAATTCAGCATATGCTGAGAGAAGCATTGGCTGTGACAAGGCAATTCATAATTTTTGGTGTGATTTCAGGGGGGGAGAGAGGAAAAAAAAAGGGGGGAAACCTAGTTAAGGATTGCTATTTTTATAATAAAATTAATATACTAATGTGCAGTTAGGTGGTGAAAAATGACTGTCTAACAGCACAGCAAGGTTCCATATTTACTTGCTGTCACTGATTTCAGAGCAAATTGGCTCAGGTTATAAGTCAAAGAAGGATTCTAGTGCTGCCAGCACTGCACACTTCAAGAGGTATCTGAAAATCGGGCTTCTTACCTTATCATTGTTAAAAGACTGTGCAATCAAAACATAACTGACAATTCAGCTGATGCATGAGCAGAAATAGATGCCAGCTCACTCTCCCATAGCTAGAGAAACTCTGTAAAGCTAACAGGATTTTAAAAACATTTTGTCAGAAAAATAAGTGGCTATGACAGACCCAGGGAGCGGGCAGAATAATAATTCAGCTATCTAATGCTGGGTATCACAGTGACAGGTGCATTTCAAGTGCTGCGCTACATAATACGGTTGCCCTCTCCAGCAGCCTCACTCCAAGGAATTCAACATGCTTTGCAAACATCAATTAAATTAATGCTCACAACGCCAAAGACTGGAATGCTGAGATGCTGGAGTAAGAAGGGTTAAAATAAGTAGATGAGCACTGGGAACAGAATACATACCTGCGGATCTCGAGTCCTCACCCTCAGCCACGAGCCCAGCTGGGCTATTTTTCTTAAATGCCTCTCCTAAACAAGTACGTTTTGGGCCTGATTCTAACAGTGCCTAGATATTCTGCAGCTCTCCCTTGAGTTAGCTGAAGTACGGAGAGAAATTCTGCAGATCATCCTGAAAACCCTACAGTTGTGCAGTCGTTCACATTGCAGCCTTGTGGTGCAGGTTTTTATTCTCAGAGAGATCATCCTTCCACTCTACTAGTGTGCTTTGCCCATTTCCATGGCATAATTTCCAGGGAAATCATCACACATCTGAAATGGCTGCAAGTCTAAAACATGTTTACCCACCGGAGGGCATGGGATGGGATGTTTAGCATGGCGCATCTCATCACAAGCATCACAGATGAATAAATAACACTTATGAAAGAATCACAGCTAACGGGTTTAAGGAAAGGGCTTTCAAGTTGCAATGATTATAAATGACAGCAATCAGAAGACTTCTGTACAAGTAAGCTACGTTCAGAATATGAGAGAATCCTGATAAGTTGATGCACTAGGAACAGGATCTGGAGAGCATCAGTCACAAGGAGGAACGTAAAACCAAGTTACCAGATCAAAGTCCAAGTGAGTGGGAACACTGCCTTCCAGGGCATGTACCAGTCCAGCACTTACTTGGGTAGTGGGCCAGTCTGATCTCTGAAAAAATATGGAAATGGGACAGATAGTCCCCGAGATGTGAGCTGCCACCTCCCAAAGCAGAGGAGAAAGGAGATTAGCTAGGGTCGAGATACAAGAGTCCTTCTGCCTGTGATTTTCCTGACATCGGGGCAGGCATCGGGGAGGGATGCCAGCTCATGGCTGTTAAGAGAAGCAGAATGCTAGCAGGAGCACAAGGTGACTGTTTATTTTGTATTTCTACTTTGATTAGAGAGAATATTTGATAAAGAGCAGCTCCCCTGCTTCCCCCAGGGTGAGGCAGCTAAACTGAAGGCTAGGCTACAAGTGAGCATCACATCCACAACAGGAAAATGTATCACCCTTCAAGAACTCGATTGCTTCTCATGCACACAAACATACTTGAAAATAGCCCCAAAGAGGTTCCTTCCCTCCCACATGGAAGCAGCTGCGGAGAAATCTCAGTTTAATATTGACACCTCCAGCCTGGAGAGTACTCGATTTGCCTCATCACATATGCAGTTTGGAATAAAAAGATGCATGATGTGACACGAGGGGCAATGGGCAACAATGAAGAAGGCGAAGAGTGCCCTGTCCTAATTTCTAAAAGTCTCTGGAGACCAGAGGGACAGCAGGCTGCAGCTATGGCTTGCCTAATGTTTCTGTTCTTTACCAAGAGCAGTTAAAAGGAGGAAAAACCTATTAAGAGGCTGAAATGTACCATGTACCTTCTTTTCTGCAATTGTCTGCAAATCCTTGAGCTCCAAAGAATTTTCCTTGAGAGTGCTCACAGGCATGCCACAAACAAGCATAAGTACTGCCAATTGTTTTAGCATGATAAATGCATTTAAAAGCTTTCAATATTTTTGTCTGTTTACAGGCATGCTCCTTGAGGAATTTTGACAAGCCTGCCAGAATGGAAAAGTTGCAAAATGCTTAACTTAGTGCTGAAGTTAACGCAAATTGTCAAGTAAGAAACCTGGGGTGGTGAAGGAGGGAGGCAAAGGACAAACCAACCCAAATCTCTGCTCCTGACAAAGTGAGGCTGGGGAAGAGCAGTGGCGGGTCGTACACAGCCTGTGCGAGCACAAGGGCAAAACTGCTTCCTCCAGATAGCTCAGCAATCGTTAGCACGGCTTCTGTGCAACTTCCAGCACTGCACAACCAGATTTAACCCTCCTGGTCCTTCTGCAGGAACTGAAGAGCCAAGCGCCTCATCTGGGGCAATAGAAAGACTTGATGGTGGCACCACCAGTGGAGGTTTCTCCCCGTGCTGTGGCTAAGTGAAAAGCCAGCCCTTCCTCTGCCACCTCCATCAGGGCCACCTGCCCTTGCAGTCCAGAGGCCAAACAGGGCTGCTGCTCTTCAAGGTTTTGGCCATCCTAGAAGACACGTGACGCTATTTCCACCTTCAGACCTTCCCTTTCACACACATCTCACAGCGCCCTGAAGCTGCTGAGGTCTGCGAGGGAGGCTGTGCTCAGTCTCCACACAGAGCAGGAGATCTTCACATCTACAGTCTGGAACGTGGCACGTACCTGAGGTGGAGAAGGGCTGGGACACCCAGAGAGTGCAAAACCAGCAATGGGAGTGTTTCTTCCAAGTGTCTTAGCCCAATTCCTTCGCCCTGGGGAAGTAAAGCTCACGGATAATTTGCCCACTAAAGAACTCTATTCCACCCTAATGCGGGCGAGGGACTCTGGGAGACAGTCTCTGCAAAACAGACTCCTGTGGGAAGAAGCCGAGAGACCTCTGTACAGCAAGTGCTCCCCAAGGACGGGCGGGAAAGGGCTGCTAAAGCAGATTCTGCTGCCTGCCTGACCACCACACAACCTCTGCAGGCAAGGCCAAGCTAGGGCAGAGCAGGCAGAGCGGGGAAATGCTTTGAGTGCAAATGAGGAAAAAGACAATTTATATCCCAAAAGGTCAACAAGTATCCCACCAGAACGAGCAGGGGAACAGCACTGAAATTATGTAAGTGGCTCACATAAAAAAAGGTAATCTCCTAAAAAGTAAAATTACACAAGCCAGTAAGCACATAGTATAAAGAGCCTTTAATATTCATTCACTCACTCAATATTTCATGGAATTCACATCTTGCTCAACAGTGGAGCAATGAGAGAGAAAAAGCTCAGTTTGGTCAGGTCCTGACGTCTACAAGCTTAGACAAATAGCAGCATTGTCAGGTTTGGACTGACTTCATGTTTTAATAAAGACACTGGTTGGTTTTAGCACTGTTCTCAGACACGTTTGGTGCTGGATCTGTATACAGAGGTGCTGCAGGCTGGGCACTGAGAGATGCCTGGAGGAATGAGATTCCCAGCAATGGGATATGGGTAAGTAACCCGCAGGAGCTGTGTTAAAAGTCTCACTTCATAAAAATGGAAAGAGAAGAGAGATCAAAGCTCTTACAGATACCTCACTGCACTGCAGAGAAAGGAACTGACATGGACACACGACCTTTAAAAAAAATTCAACAAAATTGCACTGAAATGGTTTCAGAACTCACCAAACATGTTACCGATGTGGCCATTCTTAGTCAGGGGTCGCAGTTCATTTTTTCCAAGTGCATATTGTTTGTAGTTATCCCAAGCAAATTTCATCATCTGTAAAAAGAAAAACTGAATGAAAGTGCTGAACAGGACGGAAAGTTTTCTGAACTTCAGCTCCGGGAATGAATGGGAGATCTCATTCACTACTCAACCTGGCAATCAATAGTCCGTTATTTATAGAACCTTAATTCACACTGAACACTGAAGTCTCAAACTCATCGCTCCTGGTGCAGAACTTGGGACTGGCACATTTCTGAAGTACCACACACTGAAATTCTGGTTTTCCCCTGGGCTGTGCAAACCAAGTGGGAATTTTAGAAAGATGTCCCCATCTCTGAATTTCTGACATTTTTCATGGAGTACCGGTATTTCAAACAGTAATTAAAACGGGCTAAAAACGTACGGCCAAAGCTGTTATGTCCCTAAGTACAGGGATGTTATCTTCTGATTTTTTGCATTTCTTTATGATAGGAAGAGTAAAACTTGATCGAACTGCAAAACCACCCACCACCTGCCCACCTTGCAGCAGTTACACCTACAGCTTGGGCAAAGCAGCACTACGGAGGCACGCAACACGCTTAATACTGTGGCGAGAAAAGGAAGAAATTGGTCTTTGCTTAAACGCTGCACAGAAATTGTCTTTCTGTTAATTAACAGAACGCATTCATAAAGGAGAAAGGGGAAATCCATGGCATTTTGATATCTTCCTATCATAACTCAAAAGTGCTTTCTTAACAGAGCCCTGCAGATGGGCTGTGTGCTTTCTGAGAAACCCCTTCCAACTCAAACAATTCCTTTCGGGACATTTGAACTGTCCTGCCCAGGCTCAGCACATTAACCTTTCCCTGAGGGCTGCAAGGCAGCGTGTTTGTGCACGTTCCAACACACACACACACCAGCACAGCTTTTTTCTGTCCTCCTGCCCCTCTGGCTCCAGCTAGTAGGAAAAATTAAGCCTACAAGTATCCTCTCTTCAGCTAGCACAGGCTAGGAGTTGTCAGGTTCTAAGGACTGCCTTAAATAAAGCTCTATTTTATAATCCACACAGCCTGGCTCTGAGCAGTGTCAGCCCCAGCATCGCAGTGACCTCTACGTTCTTTGATTCAATCCCTGGAAAAAAGTCGGATAACAAAGAGGAAGAAGGTGGCTTCAGAGAATCGACAATATTCTCCACCGCCGCTCAGCAAAGATAAAATGCTTTCCTCAAACAAGACATTTGAGAGAAAATGACAGTTTAAAACAAATCGTTCCTCCGCAGAGTGCCCCATCCAGCACCTGCAACAGCATTTACTGCTCTATTTTAGGATCAGAATATGCAGGTTGCTTTGGTCTGAAATTCCTACCGTCGTTTCAGTTTTGACTTTGGTCCTTCCCTCCAGCTGTGCGTTTCACAAACCCAACATCGCAAGCCTCTGGCAGTACCCTCCTTGATTAGCACACATACACAAAAAAGCCGAATCACCAGATTCCCCCCGCCGCCCCGTTTTAAACATCGAGCTTCCAAAGTAAAGTTTCACAGAGCTCGTCATACGGACAAGGATAAACATTTGCTGAACTGCCTGATAACATTCAGGCTCCAGCATCACCAGGAGAAGGAATGTTGGACAAACAAATAAAGTCAACTTGGGTTTTAAAAACTCAAGTGTGGGATGTATAAGTCACTGGAGGGCTCTGTTCTGAGGAAACTAAATAATGACCGGGGGGGTGTGTGTGTGGGGAAAAAAACCTCCACAAAATTCACTCAAACATGCCTCAGTCATATGACTCGGGGTGTTCATTTTAATGCTGCCACTGAAAGAAACCCCAGAGAGCTCGCAAAAATATTCTAAATGGGAAGTTCTCACTCTGCACTAATGCAACAGGGCAAATCTTAAAGGAACTCCGGGCTCTCTCTGATGGTACCAAGCGAATGCTTTTACGTCTCAGAGCTTGGGCGGGCAGTTTACTGCAGGAACGATGGTGTTTCCACAAAGACCGCTTTCCCCCAGCGTGACGGGGCTCGTGCCCCAGGAAGGAAACAGCTAGGCAATCTATTCAGTTCATTTCTCTTCTAAACTGGAGCTGAGGAAGGAGGACCCACCCTTCTGGCACACAGAAACCCTGGACACGGAGAGGATGTGGAAATGACTTTGTTTTGTTGCACGAAACTCCTAACATTGTAATTCTGAATCAGCCTCATTTTAAGCTGAGTATGAAATTTAAAGTTATTTCCTTCCCTCAACCTTAACCCCTCCATTCCACAAGGTCTGAAGTTTCTTCTTCAACGCTTGTGAGAAACCTGGGCATCTCTGCCCCGGTGGCACAGATGGCTCTCTGGGATCCAGAGTTCGCTGGCACCTCCATCGCAGGCGAGAAAACTACTCCAGGTTTCCCTTCAACAACCACTTATAACCCACGAGGAAATCTCCTCCTCTCCTTCTGTCTTCTCGTACAAGGAGGGACATGAGGCCTGCTGACAGACACCCCAAAGTGACTCACTTCACACAGGGCTCCCAAGTGCTATTTGAATAAACATGTTTATTCTTAATTTGCCTATTCAACCATTTAAGCTGCATTTTTCACGGTGTTGCAAGAAAGTTCCACTACAAAACGATTCCTTGGGCTGTGCTGGCTGCAGTGTCTTAAACCCTCCTTCTCTGTTCTGTCCTGATAATCAGGCAGACAGAGGATGGGTGAGATTGGATGTGCTGCCTCGTCATGCTAAAGCGTTGTCAGTTTTCCTTTACGTGAACAAAATTTTGCTCACTGCATTTAAACCCTGCATATTTGGGAGGCAAGATGCAGCATGTGGTACTCTCCCATCTCCCAAGATCAAGCTTTCCTCTCTAATGATGGATCCAAAAGCAGCAACTGGAAAAGTTTAAAAGCCAAAAGCATCTGTGCCATTCTGCCCATTCTGGCTTTCTGCAGCTGTCTTTCTAATCCAAATTTAGCAGTTCAACTTCCAAACCACTGAAGAGATTCATCAAGTTTCTAAAAGCGAGGACTCCACATTTAGAGACCGTAGGGAGGACTGAGACGGAGCTTTCGGGAGCTTTCTTTGACAGAGGTTCCAAACGCTGGGCTGAGACATGAGGGGATGTAGCCGAGAGGTGCAAAATGGAAAATCTGCATAGCAAGGTGTTTAAGTCAGCTTTCTGATGAGACGCCAAGGTTAGAAGTGAATATTTTATGCCATTCTAGCCATGACAGATCACAATACATCAGCATTAACATTGTGCCATTTTATATTTGAAAAATGGCACCGGAACCACAAAAATTATGGAAATAGATCCATAATTTTAGATTTTGTTCTTACCCGTGTGCCATCTGCCATCTAATAGACAATTATCTATTTGGCCCTGAAATTCTAATCACCCTGGCTTGCAGCTGATTTATAGCAGAGACTTCCAAATTTATAATCAAATTTGTCAGATTGCTCTTTCTCTTCTATAATCTCTAAGTCACTTTTTACTTTCAAGAGTTTCAGCTACTCAGCTAGACGATTAGATATTAAAATCAACTACAAGTAACTTAACTGAATTCTGAAAACCCACATTATCACTTCCATCATTTAAGCCATTACTTTTTCTCATGCTCTGCTCTCATCCAAACCCAAAAAAGATCCCGCTCCCAAGCCCACGTGCATTTCATACGGGCAGAAGCCTGCAGCCAGGAGCTGGGTGCTGAGTGCCAAGTCCTGCACCCAGCTGTTTGTTGGTTCAGGGTCTTCGACCACGTCTTTGCGGGTTCCCAACACCGCAGCGTTTAGATTGCACAAACCCGATGCAGAACAAGGCTAGGTTAAACTGCTTTCAGTTCATTTTTTTAATTTAATGTATGGAAACATTTATATTTAGAAGTCAGCTTTATAAATACTCTCCTTTAAAATACCGGGCCAAACACCAAGTGGTTGTGTCTCTTCAAATACTGCAGGAAATCATACAAATATTTCATGTTTCCACTGATACTCCAAACTTCTCTCCCTGTTAAAACCAACAAGCACACCACGGCAGCACCGACACCTCTACCACAGCTTTGCCCATTCTCTCATATCCATTTGCTCTTGACACATCATAAGAAGAATTCTTAGGTTATACAACATCAAATACGCCTAATCACACATTAAAAATCCCCAGACTCAGTAAATAAAAGCAGCAACAAAACTGATACCCCTCCCTCTCCGCACGCACTGCCTGGGAGCACCACAGCTCCTCGGTCTGGCACCCAGGAGGTAACATGGGAGACACTGAGCAGCTGGGATTTAGAATTTCTGCCCATGTGTACTACGGTCCTGATTTTCAGAGTGCCACCGCTTTACTGATTTCCAGGGAACTTGAGGTCATGGATAAAACGAGAATCCAGTGGAAAGGAAGTCGGGATGAGTTCAGAACAAGAAGGTGTTTAGCAGGTTCTGTGATCCCAATAATGAAGAAACAGGGCTCAGGATAAAAACTTGACCAAGGAAGTGTTTTCACTCTGAAGAGATGTGCAAACCTGGTGTTCTTTAATATATGTAATAACTAAACTACTGAAAATCCCTGTAAAAAGCAGAGAGAGGAAAAAAAAAAAAAAAAAAAGTCCCCCATGCTATCACTTGCCCTCCTTTTATTACCAGGGAAGATTTCAAAATGCAGAGCATTCCCAAACAGCTATTTGATTAGTTTTATCCATCTCGCCTGGGATAATTAGTAAATGCTTAAAAGATGAAATCTAAATATACCAACCAATCAGTCCTTTTCAAGAACTTCCAAGGAACATTACACAAAGCCATTATCCTCATAAGATAACCACTTTTGTGGCTCTTTAGCCTCCTTTCTTCAACCCCCCCCTTCAATATTTAACTATTAAGCTATCTAAGAAATTTCCAGCTTGGGTTTTCAAAGAAAAAAAAAAAAGTATGGTTGTGGGTGTAATTTTAAGTATTTCTTTCTCCGCTGTATTTCTTACTTGTTTTTTTTCCCACCTCAAAAATTACCAGACAGGTTTCTCTTCCTTTCTCTGTAGTTGGAAGAAGAGTAGTTGTCACATCAGTTTCAAAACTAGGACCTGTTCTTTCCCATCTCTAACCTTCT